GGCAGGATCTGCTCCAGCGGATCTGTTAGATGTGCGAGAAACACAGGATTGCAAGAAATTGTGTTGTATGGCATATAAGTAGAGATAATTCTGCACTGAGCTCTTCTCCTCAGAGGGAAACCTCTTAAATCATGAAGTCAAGGCTTCTTGTGATAAAAGGAAAGGAAGAGGAAGAGATTCTCGTGTATCCTGCTTCTTTCTGCTTTCATATATTAGTGTAGATAGTTCAGAGTATCTGTATTTGCCTTGAACTGTACCTAGTGCAAGGGAACCCCAGGTCTGATATGTGTTTTTGTGCTTTAATGCAATTCAGATTGGAATAAAACAGTAATAAAAATGAATGCCATGGACAAAGTGAATATGATATCCTGTTTCCTCTTTTTTTTTTCTGCCCTGTTGCAGAAGAGAAGGATAAACATAAACTTMAATTCTCCTGGTGCAGGAAAATCTTTCCATTTCTTCAGTAGTCTTGAGGAATGGGAAGGTCTTGCAAGCATCTTTTTTACCTATTTTATTTAGTCTGAGTGCTTCCCTCCAAAGACTGTTAGCTTGTCAGACTAGTTGGCAATGCAAGTTACAATTGCTTTTCTCACTTCTTTTTATGCTACAGGGTTATCTTTCCCTTTTGCTAAGGAGTACTTTTATGCTTCAGAACTAGATTCTAACAGGAAATGTAAAGGAAGACATTAACTTGTCCTCATTTTCCACATCACCTGAAACTCACTATGAGATTRTACTACCTCTAGTTAAAAACATAAGGGAAACATGTTTTCCTTCACCTAGAAATATAAATGAGATTAGAAAATAATAACATTMTTTTGATCAATTCATTCCATATGACTAATTGATGCGTGTGATTGATCCATATTGAACATGCAGAATATCTTTATTTCTTCGGGCTATTTTGGGTATTTTCACTTTTTTGAGTTAAGCCTGGAAATTGAGTATGTTTCTGTAAAAAATAGTTCTTATGAAATGAAAAATTTACAGTGCTTTCATTACTTCTTTTAGATAGTTTTTTTTTTTTACATTATGTCTTATAGATGCTGTAGTTTTCATACATTCTCCTGTTAATTTCCTGATACATCATTTTAAATTGAATGTTATAGCACATTCCAAACGCAGTCAAAGCTTGGTATTTAYAATTGTACCGGACAAGCAGCTTTTAACAGCACTACTTCCAGTGACTGCCTGCCTGTTAAGGGAATAGAAAATACTGAATATATTAAATATTTAAAGTAAAATGGATTCAATTACAGTAGCATTTGAAGTATTTTGCTACTAACTATGACTGATGTTCATACATTTCACCTGCAAATTTATGTGTTGGAAGCAGTGGTAGAATTGAGCTGTATTAGGAAAAGCAAAAGAGAGTAAATACAAAGGCATGTTTTATGCATATTGACTTCTTTGTCATTAGTTTCATATATCCACACTGATGTCATAAAGGAGGATGAATAAGATTGTCTTGATGTCCACCAACCCCCAGCTCTTCCAGTAAGCAAAACCAATAAAAGAGACGGTATTCTGGGGAGGTGTATCATCAGTTCTGAGAGTATAGTGACAGGAGAGAGGTATCTCTGACAAATCATTGATAATTTTAAGTCTCAAGAACCTCTATACTGAGCTGTACCCCTTCGGTCCTATGCTACAATCCCCACGTGGAAAATATGCAGGAAATTTTTGGAGCACAGGCTGCAGAATTACACTGTGTTCTTGTCATTGGCCTCTTGTCTTTATTGTGCACAGTCGCTAGGGGTTAAGACTCAGGGCTCATATTTGGAGGCCAAGCTGCTGATCTGCCAGCATATCTGTCAACAGATCTGTCCTTATCCTGACCATCTTATCTTTATAATTCAGCCATTTCCACCTGGAGCTGCTGGAGACATCATTATTTCTCCCCTGAAGCTGACTGATTTAGCACTAGGTTAGTGGCAAGGAGCACGTATATGCTCTGGCTCTGGGTCAGCTCAGTTCAACACAGATTTAGTCTGCCCTTTGCTGAGCGGGTGCACATCTGAGTCTACTCTTCCAAAGATAACATAATTTCAAGCACTGGGATGTTTGGTTTACTTTTCTTTGAGACCTGTGGTTTAGTTGCCAGTAACATTAATAGACCTGGAATATAAATCATACTGAATGTAAAACATTTGGGCTTCAGTGTGCTGGGCAGATATCCATGTAGAGAGATGGGCAATTAAATCCTCTTGCATTATAAACCTCATAGAATAAGGCTCTGGCTGAGGGCTTGCCCAAATGGGAATTTTCTCTGGTGAAGCCTGAAAAATTGTCATTCTTGTTGCCAATAATGTGAATAAATAAAAGGCTCAACAATTAGGAGAGAAGGAAAACAAGGAAATACACCTGTCAATTTTTTTGTATTATTAATGTGCAAGCGAGAACAAATGTTATGTTTCTGCATGCTGTAGCCCTTGATGCCAGCTGTTGGCTGTGCACATGAATCGGTGTTTTGCACCAGCTGAACAGCCCCACTGCCAGCAAGCACTGAACAGGCAACCATCGATAGCAGCAATCTTCCCACACTGCGTGCAATAMAAGTGATTCTTTAAATTAATAATAATACTTAATAAAGCTCTGTCTCTCATTTGCAAAGACAACCTTCAATTAATGTTAATCGGCATCCACAGAATGTGATCAGGCTGGGCTTGTAGCTGGACGTGCCGAAACAGTTCAACTGGCAGATGGAGCGTTTTCCAACTATTTTAATTAATGACTGCTCATTTCAAATGTTAATGCAATTAAACAAAGAGGCAAAGCAAATAAAAATAATAGAAGTTATGAAAATGTCACTGTCAGAGACAGTTTTAGCATCTGATCAAAAAAGTGGGCCTCCCTCACATCTATAAAGGGCCTAGCCCTCCCCTGCTGGCTAAATGAACACCATTTTGGGCAAGGTTTCCTTTTGTTTCTGTCTCTTTCCAACCATTTCTCTGGGATTGACATTTATCTCTCTTCCATTTTAACCTTACTGGCATCAACCAAGTTGTTGCTTCTCCAAGTATTAGAGCATTTTCTTGCAGAAAATGGGAAAGGATTTCCTTCACATATTATAGGTTTGTTTTTTCCTGTAAGATTTAGCCTACCCTTACTTCTTGCCTTTTTATGTTTGAACCAATTGCCTGATTTTTTTAGGACTTTACTTTCTGTGAACCTTGTGTACCGTGGCAGGGGTATAGTCCCACATTCATTTGGGCTTATAAAGAATTCAATTAGCCCCTTAATGCCTAGTTCAGTCACAATTAAACCTTCCCTGTTGACTTGGGGTTGGTCTTTCTAAAGGCAGAGAAGGTGTTTTAATTATTCATTCCCTGGTTTGTTTCTTACAGCAGTCTCAGCTGTGCTTTATTATTCAAAGGTTAATGCAAACTGAGAACTGGGTAAATTAAATTTGTTTGGCAGCTAGCAACCTGATGTATTATAGACAGTGTGAAATATGGATGGATGAATGGATGGCAGCACTTTTGCTATTGTGATGCTTAAAAAGCCTGATTTTATCTTTAAAACAATTGCCAGTTTTGTTACTGAGGCTGATATAAAATGAATGTTCCATAATATTATATTCTCTGTAACCCATTTTTGTTAAGAAAGCACGTAGTTTAGAGAGCCAAGAAGCATTAGCAGCTATTATAGAAAATTGATGTAGGTACCATGACTAATGAACTAGGCTGCACAGTACTGAGTCGCTCGGTTGTATGCAGGGAATCGTGCAGTCAGAAGTTTTAATGAAGGGAGCCCAAGGAATTTCAGGTGAAAGAGGGTTTTATTAACTTTCAGTGAACAAAATGAATAGTTGAGCAGTGAACATGACATGATGTCGTATAATAATTGTATGCCTTGGGTGCATTGTGAGGCATGGAGCATAGCCAAGAGCTTTCATCTGTTCTACACACAGGGTTGTTTCACAAACCCCTGCACACTATGGAAATCTTTATTGCAAACATAACAAGAATTATTTCACAAGAAATGCCTTAAGAAAATACTGCGTCATTTATTTGAAAAATCCACCAACACTGCCTTTCTGTGAAAAGTATTAGCCAGACATCCATAAGTCACCATCCCAATTGATCCTAATTAAAATTCAGGTCCTGTATCAGTAACTTGTGTCAGTAGGCTATGAACCAAAAAGAAACCTGCAGTTTCCTTAAGAGGCCACCCTGATTAAGGTATCTTCTTTCCCTGGACAAGCATTATGTTGCCTGAAAAATGGTTCTTTTGGCCTATAGAAGAGTAATGCCCAAAAACTTTATTCATTTTTAATTTGCTCCCTCCAGAGATTAACTATGTGGGTGAGAGATTTTTCATTTTCCACATATGAGACTATGTTTTAGATATTTCAAATATTGTTCCAGTGCCATTTTTTTAAATGAAGAATTTGAATTAACATAATCCTACAGTTTAGCCTGCTTTCTATTTATAAATTTTTCAGGACAGTTTAACAGTTGCAGAGTAAAGCAGCTTTCTGTACTAATGATTGGAGTCCTTAGGATAGAGACTTAGAAAGCGCAGCTACAAGGTCATTTATACAGTGCTAAGTCTTTAGTACATCATGTGTGATATGATAATGTGTGCAATTATACTGCTATTGACTGATGAGTGGGGTGGATGAGGATGTAGGTGAAAATAGGATGGCATGTAAGGTGAGACAGTGACAAGATGTCTCAGCCAGGTTCCTGTATCCTTGTACTGTAAGTGCTGCACGTCTGCCCCCAAAAATATTTGAGATAAGACAGTTAGGAAATTTTCTGTATTTATTTAAATAATTTATATATCAGTGATTTTAATACTTCTTTCTAGGTGAATATGTCAGTTCACTGACTGATCCAAGGACACCAGTTACATGTGTTATCCCAGGCTAACTCAATAAACATACGTAATTTTAACTTTTAGTATTGTTGCACTACTGTAGTGGTTTGTAACTGATGGATGGATATTCTTATGTGTATGTGATTGTTATGTTATACTTTTGTTCTCTGTTTTAGTGCTGGACCCAAAGGAGACAACATTTATGAATGGAGGTCAACCATACTAGGACCTCCAGGATCTGTATACGAAGGTGGAGTTTTCTTCCTTGACATTACCTTTTCACCAGACTATCCTTTTAAACCACCTAAGGTTAGTAGGAGTATGTTAAAAGTCTGCTTGAAGTCATCTCCTAATGATTATTTTAATGTATTGGTATAAAAATATAGGTTGAAATGGAAAATTCTGAAGGAATTAATGAACATTTAAACTGATTGTTTTGTTGGAGAGAATTTAAATAGTTGCCTAAAATTTTCCTGCATGTCTCCAGTATACTTGGACAGATATGGATTTATTTAAAAAATGGTTGCATAAATTCAAGCAGTTATTGTTTGATTTGGGTTTGTTACTGCTATGAAAACATGAATGTTTTTGTTGCTCCTTTGTAAGCAGCTGATGTAGTTAATCTTTCCTATTGACCCTTATCATTCGTCATGGTTCTGTAGCACTTTGACAAAATGCACACCTTTTGCACTACTCTATATAAATTACTTCTGTAGATGCAAGATGCTGTGCTGTTCATGAAGTTATAATTAATTGCTTTACATCAATTTTTTTGAAGAATATGGAAATAAGGCTGCAAAGCCAAGAAACTGAACCAAAAAAATGCAGATTTGTAGAATTCCTTATGGTTTTCTTTTTAAAGAYTTTCAGTAATGGCAATATTGACCAAAGGTCGATAATATGAATAATATGAAGTCAGGACATCATCACCAACAAGAGGTGGACTCAGAATGGAGAATATAGGAGAAATCTAGGGATTCTGAGGGTGGATGAAACAGAAATGGAGTGAAATGTAATCATGCAAAATGTCAGCAATAACTAGTAGCAATAATTTCTGAAAGAGGGGGCCAAAATGAGCTGCACTGGTTGATCACAGGATTATTATAAGTCACTAGTCTAATTCGTCTATAACAAAGATAAATACAGCCATAAGATACTTCATCTGGCATTTCCTGTAAGCAAATGTGCAGATTTATCAGTGTCATATACAAAACCCTTGAATCGCTTTATCAAGAACACCAACTGCAATTCTTGACACCTGTRGTCAATAACACTCATAGACACTGGAAAATTTACCCAACAGGGCTCTTAATAGAAGTGGATAAATTAATAGGTCTCTTTTGTGAAACAAAGTACAAAGAGGTTACTTGTTCATCTTAGGAGAAGGGAGAATGAGGTTCACAGTGAGTTGCTCAGGAGGAGTTACGTAGGAGGAAAAAAAAAAAAAAAAAAAAAACGTTCTTTTGGACACACTTCTGAAAGGGCTGATATACCATGTTTGCTTATGGCAGAAGGGGGTTGCATTAAAAGAGAGATTAGTTGTTTCCTGATGACCATGAGCAGAAAACTAAAGGAGCAGTTATAAACAGAATTTTAATGCTACAATAATAATCTTATACTAGGTAACTTCGTTGATATTATCAGGAAAAAAAAAAAAAAAAAAGAGAGATGCAATTGCACAATTAAAGCTTTGGGTGTTCTGAGATCCAGCAATGTTCTCTTCATTTGTCTTGTTCAATCCTCCCTCCCAACCGATTTTGGTCTTCACGCTTGCTGTGTGGATTTCTATCTTGACAGGTCCCTTTCATTTTCTTCTTTGTTTGGCTTACTCTGTATCTAGCCATTGCAATGCAAGAGTTACCCCCAGTCCCACAGCAMATTAAAGAGAGAATTATTTATTAGATACAGGCATGTCCACAGAATTGGATTTATTGGATATGAAACACAACTTGAAGTTCTCTCAAAAATCCAAATGTAGTATGTGACGAATTACATATGAAGTACAACTTCAAAAGATATCTTATGTCCTTCTCTCCATTAGAGCTATTGAGTTTTAAGGCAATATATGCAGTAGGTATCCTTTTAAAATAGAAGGTGAAGGTCCAATTGGATTTTTCACAAGGTAAAGATTTCTACAGTACACRCTCAGTGTGTTTGGTGACTATATTATTCAGAGACATGAGTAAGGCAGCTGTGCATTGCTTATTAATGAAATATCAAGCAAATAGGAGGTTCTTATCCTCCTTTGCAATAGATCTTTTGTCTGCCTTTATCTTCACTCCAACCGTCTTTTTAAGAAATGTGTGCATATAAATGATATAAAAATCTATTGCGTGATAAAGAACAAGAGAGTTTCTGATGCCATATTGTATTACTACAAGGCCAGTATTTATGATGAAGGAACTTGTTATCTGTAAGAAAATAAGAGGCACATGTGCACAGGGTTCTAGTATCAGATTTATGTAATATTTCACTAACATACTTTGTTCACATAGGTTCTTATTCTAGTCAGTTGACGCCACTACTGTAAGTAACACCTATCTTGAAGCCTGATATAAGAACWCCTAAACTGTTGCTACATGATTACACATATATTCCAGACCCTGTGAAATTGATTCTAAAATACTTTGGGAAGGCCCTTGAATAAAGCAGTGTAGGAAGATGACTACTTGTCTTAAGGTAGCTGCTGCCAGTCAATATTGTTGAGAAATGGCAGTTAAATATGTTCTTCAAACAGCTATTTCTAGCATAAGAAATGTGCTAAGTAGGTAGAACATAACATATGAAAACACTATAGAGTGCTATCTATGTCACTGAGTGTTGACATCTCTTCCACTTTACCATCTTTTCTTAAAATCATAGTGCTTGGGGCCATGGGAATAAATAATCTTTTTTTCTAAGAATATTCCTACTTCTTATAGCTGTATCATCTTTAAAATAAAATAAAATAAAATAAAACAAAATAAAATAAAATAAAATAAAATCTAATAGAGATAAAAATACAACGCTGTAGAATGTACTGAAAAAGTCTTGAAATGTATTCCTGAATGTTGGCAAGGTAACATCCATGAAAGTACGTAACAAAAAAGATATAACCCGCATCTCTTGCTATGGTTGAATTCATATATTCCTCCTGAGATTTCTGTGGTCCACTTTTATCTCCCCTTTACTATGAAGTAAGGAAACATTTAAATGAGTACTGTCAAAATTGATCTTCCAAAGATGTGACCACAAAGACCTGGGAAGAAGTAGAAACTGTATTTCCCAGATGCAATTACTTGACCCAGGGTAAGGTTCCAAAGCAAATGCCCATGTCACATAACACAGTTTTTGTTGCAGGGCCTAATCCAAAGCCTATTAAAATCAACAGAAACATTTCCACAATCCATTATCCTTATCTGTTCTCAGATGTGTGCTCTGTTGTAATACATGTGTAGGTTACACTTGCATGTTGGGAAGGGAAAACTAATTCTTCAATTAAGAAAAATATATTGAAAGTGAGCTCTGGATAATGTTTAATGCCTATAATAATTTTTATCTTTATAAATGAAATGTGTTTGTGTTGTAGTCTTTGCTTGATTTATATTATACAAAAATTTGAATATTTTCTAAAGGATCCCATTTCCTTCTCAAGGCTCTACTGATACTTATGATTGTGGCACCCTACTGCATATTGGAAAACATTAATTAAAAAAAATCTGAGAGCACATTTACACATGAACAAGTATAAACCTATGATTAGCAAATTTAGAAATTAATTTTCATTTGTTCTTCTTGATAGTTAACTTGCGGTATCGCTTAAAAGAAGATGAATCCGTCATTCATTCTGTTTTTATTTAAACAAAGTAAAAATGTCTGCAAAACTTTGATTTGAGCTATTTAACTTTTCCTTCATTCGCTACTGCATATTGGAAAACATTAATTAAAAAAAAAATCTGAGAGCACATTTGCACATGAAAAGAAATATGGACTTACGATTTGGGGGTTTAGGAAATTTAGAAATTAATTTTCATTTGTTCTTCCTGGTGGTTAGCTTGCTTTATCACTTGAAAGAAGATGAATTAGTCATCCATTCAGTTTTTATTTAAACTAAGAAAAACAACCATCAAAAACTCTGATATGAGGTATTTAACTATTCCTTCATTTTTACACCTTTGTAGCCTTTGACATCACAGCCTCTTAAGATTTTAAAATATTATATTTGTGCTTTTGTGCTTCACGTCCTCTGATTGCTCCATATGGTCCATTTTATGTTCCTGATTTTGCACATCCAAACATCACTGCCACTAGATTTCTCATTTAATCTGCATCAGCTAGTCATTCCCCTGCAGATCCATAGTTCTGTTTCTGTCTGTCTTTACCTGTCAGTGTGTCTCTAAGCATAATATCAAATAAAGCTATTTTTCAACAAAATAACGGTGGTTAGTCATGCTATAGCTTGCTGTCATGTTATTCTTTTTTTTTATCCCTCTTTGAAGTCAGTCTATTTCAGTCTTTCAACTTTGTCTCATGCCTTGAAACTGGACTCCAAAGTTTTTGAACTGGAGGTCACTGACCCTTTCAGTGCTGCTTTCCTCTTAAATCAATGGCACTTTACCTCAGCCACAACTGCAGCATAGGCCTGCACAGTAGAAAGTGGTTCTTCTAACAGAAGTAGTTCTCTACTTGTGACTGATAGAGCTTGAAAAGAAGTGACAGAGGGCCATGCCAAACTGTGGCAAACTATCTCTAATTTATCTGTGTAACCAGATAACAAGATTTTTAGAATAGCTCATTCGAGAACTGACAAATTAGCTTTGGCTTTCTGGGAGGCTCTAATCAATTAAAAACGTTTCTTAGTTTTCACTGTGAAAAAGCTTCTGCAACGCTGCAGAAATTAGCTRAGCACCTGGTTGGCTGAGTCAGCATGAGAGTAAGGAGCCTACAGTATTCTGATTTTCTTTCCAGTTGTATCCTCTAATGTTTAAAGCATCGTGCTGTTTTTTGAGGTGCCAAGCAAGAGGAAGGTATGTGACAGACAAAGCAAGTTGCCAGTGTCCGCACATGATCTTGCCTTCTGCTAAAAGTAGATACTTGGCTCACAAACTCAGGACAGATTTTATAAGATGAGGTTTGGCTTCAGCCCCCAAATTATGTTTTCTCCCTTGTAGTTCAGGGAACTTAGGAACAGAGAACGGTGTGGCCTCTTCTGAGCAGCCACTTAAAGAAATGAGTGAAAAGGTGTAGATGGCCTGCCACTGAAATAGCCTTGTTTTGCTCCAATGCCTTAATGACCCCTTAACCTTTTTTGAAATACCTTTGAGATTTCT